ATGGCTTCCTAGCTGTATGACTTATAGGGATAATAATATTTGGACTAAAAACTTCACAGGGTTGTTTTGAAAATTAAATGAGATAACAGAAGTCACAGCACCTTTCAAAGTGCAAGGCTGTTCCTGTCATTAAGTTGTTGTTCCTCAGTCCGCTGCGGATGCAACATTGAATTCCATGTCTTTTCTTTTATTCTGTCTTGAATGTGATTATCCTTTTAAAGAGTGTTTTTTACTTGAAGCTTTTCTATTTGCTTCAGTCCTTTTGAGAGGTCTGCTATAATTTGAAACCTTTTAGCTAAATAACTCTAAAAGCAGGAGTTGAGTGGTATGATAAATTTATTAAAGAGCATACTTTTAAAAATCAGAAGAGAAGCAGATCATACACTTCTCACAGCTTTTTGTAGGAGATATATTCTTAACCAAACAAGAGGTAGAGACAATTCCAAAAGATAAAATCGGTAACTTTGATCACATGAAACCAAAAAGCTTTTGCACATATAACATTAATGCATCCAGGATAAGAAGGAAGTGATCAAATGGGGAAAAGTCTTCATATCAAATTTCTCTAATAACGGTTTGGTATCCAACATATATAAACATATATGAAACAGTAGCCATTCCCCACTAGACAAGTGGTCAAAGGATATGAACAAATAGTTCTCAAAAGAAAAATTACAAAGTATTAAGCCCCATGAAAGAGTGCTCTAAATCACTAGTAATAAGAGAAGTGCAAATCAAAACAACTCTGAAGCTTCATCTCACCCTGGGAATTGGCAATGACAACAAAATAACAATAGTCAGTTTTGGAGGGGTTGTGGAATGATAGGCACACTGATACAGTGTTGGTGGAGCTGTGAAATGCAATTTGGAATTTTGCAAAGGATACTGTCTGCACCAGGAAAAGATAATGTTTAATTTAGGCAGAGTTAATATTCTTCCAAAATAACAAAGGATTATTTTTTACCACTTATCCTGAAAATATAAGGCAGACAAATTTGGACAAATCATAGCTATTTTTCCTATATGAATTAATTAATGTTTAAAAATATACAAACATACAGGCACATATGATGCTACATTTCAGAGCTTTCTTTATGAGTATATGTAGTTGGTAGTAATAAAACACAACTGTACAAATTTAAAATCCAGACAAATACGCATATGATCAACATGTTATTACATAAAAACGCAGACAAAACCAAGGAAATTTATGCAACAGTTCTGCTTAGGACATACTACCACTTGCTTTTCAAATTAAAAGAAGATAAAATTGGTTAAGCCCTGCTAATATTATGACATTCCTAGTTTACATTCATTCTTGTATGCTGTCTTACCCTAGTAATATACCCAGTTGAGTTCCTCACAAGATTTCCATCCTTCAGTTTCAAATCGTTAGTCAGCTCCCAGTCTCCTTTATCACTGCATTACTATACATACTGTAGACTTCCCAAGCTGCTTGTAGACTTAGTATTTGATATTTTTCAACTTTACCCACTATGGCTGATTGGAAAGCTAGATATGCATTTGCAAAGGTATAATAACTTCAGTGGTTCTTGTGGTCAAGGGTTATACTAACTCAAAGTGATCTCAGTTGGAAGTCAGATTTACCCAAATCTTAGTGGTTTCTGGCACTCTGATAGTATTCGCTAGTCTGTTTAAGATGGGGTACCAGCCCTTGATTGAGGATTTCATATAACTTTGAAGTTTAAATTACATAAAACTAGGTTGTTGACCCATCTAATAAGTGACAATACCAGTTGGTTAGGCAGCTTTAAATCCTTGTGTTCTGCACTGTTTTGTTTTTTCCCTGAAACTTAGTCTAATGTAACATAGCAAATATCCTTTTAAAGGGGAAAAGTTTTTATCATGGTGTTTGGAGGATTTTTCTTTTTTAACTATCAAATAAGTAAAATTGTTTTTTTCATTGTGTCTCTTCCTTGACAACATGGAGTTCATTACTGCCTCTTTTTCTTTTTGGTCAGAGTTCTGAACCAGGTACAGCCAGTCAAGACCAGGCCTTATCTGCTCAACAAGCTGCTGTTATTAACCTGACTGGAGTTGGGAGCTTTATGCAGTCCCAGGCAGCTGGTATGTCTCTGCTCAACTTATGCTGTGTTTTCAAGCAAAAAAAAAAAAAGTACTCAATCCAAAATTCACTTGGCATTTTTATTTCACCTTTTGAATTATTTTTTTCTTTTCCTTTCCAGGCAGATGATAACTGGGGACTTAAAATAGAAAGTAGAGTTGGTCTTAATGTGTGAACTCTTGAGATCTGTCAGTTGAGGCCCCTTTTTAGTATTTCATTATATTCAGTTGTAATAGATCAATTAGAAATGCCTGGCCCTCCACAAATTACTAACTGTAGTTTTTCCGCATGTTATATTAGTTACAATTCTGCACAGTTACTAAATGAATTAGGCAATTAGAAAATGTCTATTTAAAATGTTAATCAGTAATTGTGCACATTATCTACTTATTCAGAATGCATCTTTTTCTGTATTTTATCTTTTTTTTCCTGGCAGTTTGCATATCCACAGTCTTTGGACAAATCAATTAATGACTCTGTGCTTTAGTTCCTCATCTGTAAAGTATAGGGATTGGACTGGAAGGCCCCTAAGGTCTTTTACATCTCTTTATCTGTGTGAAATAATTCATTAGAAATGCAATTCAAATTGCTAAAACTACAGTTAAGATAGTCCATATTGTGTAGGTGAGGTTTACTGGGAAGATATTTAAAAGGTCTCTTGATTTTAGGAATCCCTTTACATATCCTGTTCCCCACCCTACCCCCACAAAATGAAAAACTTCAAATTTGTGAACCTAGATACCATTGAATATATAAGGAAGAACTAAACTCTTGGAAATAAGCAATTAGTAATTGTTATTCCTAGACTTGAATTGTAGTACAGGTATAATAATACCTACAAAATGGTTGAGTGGAAAGAGCAATGAATTGCAAATCATGTGATGTGGGTTCTAGTTCTGGCTTTGTCACTAACAAGCATGTGACCTTGGATAAAAATTACTTAAGTTCTCTGGGCCTTGAGTTACCACCTTGGAAACTGAGGGGGTTGGATTAAATAATTACCAAGGTTCTTTCCAGCTCAAACTCTGTACTTTTATCAAAATGTATACATTGATCAAATTTTGTTAAAATATGGACTTCTAACACAAGCCTTTGTCTTGAAACACTTATTTGGCATCTATAAGTTATCTTATTTAGGCTGTCTTTTTGCTCCTTGGGAACATCAGAAATGTAGTTTTTAATTTTATGGGTAGCAGTTTTTGATACTGGAAAAATACCTTCCCAAATAAACATCAGCATTTCACTCCAAACTTCCGAGTTTCCCTCCCATCCTTATTCCCCCCCCCAAAAAAAAATCCTTAAGAATATACATTAAAGTCCTGTAGGAAAACTTGTTGCATGACCACAAAGCTTTATAGCCTAATTGCATGTATCAACTAACAAGTGACTACTTTATTCTGAAATGTTGTGATTTTATATCTAGGATTAATCATACTGACAGCCTTTCTATTATCCCATTTTCTGTGTTGCCCTTTTCTAACTCTGATAACCTTCAAACCTTTTTGACTGGCCTGCTTTCCCCTTCTCCTTTCTGTAGTGTTGTCTCAGCTTGGCTCTGCCGAGAACAGACCTGAGCAAAGCCTTCCTCAGCAGAGATTCCAGCTCTCCTCTGCCTTTCAACAGCAGCAGCAACAGATACAAGTAATCCAGCAACTTCACTCTGATTACATTTTTTTAAAAAATACAATTCTAAGCTCCCAAAGTACCCTTAATACTTTGGTTTAGTTCTCTCTTAATTCTTTTATGCACTATAACATTCAGTAAATAAAGTTATTAGTAAATTTAGCATCAAGAGTTCCAACATACTGGTCATTCAGCTTGAATACTTAACATTTTAGACATTTAAGTCATCTTTTCCTAATTCATCATTCAAGGAGTCCTGTCGGCACATTACCAGTTCTTCCCAATTGCCATTATAATTTCAAAATCAGACAATGCTTAAGTGCCAACTATTTTTGACATTATAGTGCAGAAAATATATAGCAGTGTTCATACTACTAAATGTCATAACTTCTGGTGTTTTTCATTATTTTAGTATAAATAACCAGTATAGCAAGGAAAAGGAACTTGAAACTTGAGATGTAAATATTTATATTGTTACAAACTCCCACTATGAACCACGTTGGTCACTGAAGTTGCTGAGTTACTACAGTAAAGACTGACAGGGCAAAATAACCACACAATTTCAAGTTGATCCATGATCTTTAAAAGGCCCTCAGCAGGCTTCCGTGCCACTGGTGCTGCTTGACTGTGCATTGTCTCAATGTGGTACAGTCACCTTTTTGTTATTATGGTGCTTTCTCACTTTCAAATTTTGTTGTTTTCCATCACTCTCTCTCAAGAAAAGCACCTGTCCATACCTACCTCAATTTAACATAACTTGAATTTTTTTCCTTCCCCCTCTGGCAGCAGTTGCGATTCTTACAGCATCAAATGGCTATGGCAGCGGCAGCAGCAGCCCAAACAGCTCAGCTCCATCGGCATCAACATACAGGCAGCCAGTCAAAAAGTAAAATGAAGAGAGGCACGCCAACCACTCCAAAATTCTGAGTCACCAATTACTTAGGGTTTTTTTCTCTTCAAAAAAAGAGCATTGAATCAAAGGGTTTTTCTGGGTTTTTATTTCACTTGCTTTTGTTTTGTTGTTTTTTTGTTTGTTTATTTGTTTTTTAAGTGTCACTATTTTACATGGCTAGAGTGGGGGCAGAAGTACCAAGTTAATATGGGAACCCAACCCTGAAATTTTAAAAATTAGGGAGTTCATCTAACAAATTAGGGTTGGTTTTCTTAAGTCACAGCCTTTTAAACAGTTGCTTTACTGTGCGGTTTTTTTTTTTTCCATTAAGGAATAACTGTATATAGTATAAGGAGGTGGCCTAAGAAATTCTAGGGGAAAAAAAGGACTTTGTAAATGTAGTATTGATATTTGTTTATTTAGTATAAAAGATTTGTGAGCACTGTAACAAATACAATTTTTACAAATCCATTTTGAAAAATATGTGCTGGCTGTTTATTTTGGTTTCATACTCTTAATTACTTCATCCATCAGTTTCTTTGCTTCTTTGTGTCTTGTAATTGCCCGACTCATACAGTCCTGAAGTTTAGCTCCAGTTAGCCCACTTCCACCTGAAAAGAAATGTTATATACTACACTGGTTATTCTGCTTTTTCCTATTGATGCTGATTTAAAACAAAATACAACCACCCAGAAAACAAAACATGGGAAAGGAAGAATATTTTATTGTCTTGACTAGGATATTGTCTCAAAAAAAGTTACATACAATAATGCTAAAAGCAGTCTTGTTCTGGAAATAATTTGAAGTAGGACAGAAACAGTGACAGTCACTAAATCCTCATGAACAAAACTCCACTTTTCTTAAAGATATAGTGTTATGCATGATTAAGCTAATTTTTTTTGTCCAACATATCCTATAGAAAGGGTTTGTAAAACAAATGATTTTTTAAAACTAGGACTGTGTTTAAAGTTGAAGTAAAATAACATGCCTGGTTTGTGTAGACAACACAGTTTGCCTTCCTCATCCATTACGACTGTTAAAGTTCCTGTTGCCAGATGTTCCTCTTCTCCCGTAGGGTCAACTATGAGTAAAGTGCTATACAGGACAAAACAAACTAATTCTTTGCAACTCATTTTAACACGCAAAATAAACATGTTCAGAAGGGAACTGGTTCAGCTAATTGTAACATTTTAAAATTTCAGAATTACAAAGAACAGAAGCAGACAGAAATTCCAATCATCCTCATGGAAGTTGTGTAGTAGAATCAGAATTGGGCTAAGTCCTAGTTCTGGAATGTTTTATTAGCTATGTGACCCTGGGTGACATTAAGCTTTCTGAGCCTGTTGCTTCACCTGTAAAATGGGTATAATTCTTATGCCACCTAACTTGAAGATTGAAAACAAAATGAGAACAGTATGTGTAATGTACATAGAAGTATCGGCTCCTGTTAAGCCAAGTAAATCAAGAGTAACTTTGGAAACTTTAATCTATATTTGCAAACAATAAGGATAAAAAAATTACTGACAAATACAATAATACAATTTTTCCAAAAGAAAATTTTCCACATAAACCAAGAAGAAAAGGACAAGTAATATTTTCAGAATTCTACCATCTTATTAACTTACTCATCAAATATAGCAAATGATGTGGCAATTGGATGTGTTCTAATATTCAGGTGACTTTTCTTTTTTACATTAACTTCAGCTAAGCCAGTTTCTTCATTTATTGTAACTGCTGGCAATTCAACTGCAAAAAGACAAATAATTATTACAATTTCTAAAAGGCATCTGAGTTGAAGATTACTCTCACTAGCTAGCCCCAAGTGAATTTTTCTTTCCTCTCACCTCAAGTTTTATCAAAAACAATCCTAACATCTAAAATATACCTGAATTTCTCTTAAAACTAAAATAATCATGATTGTGAATCTTTCCTCCTTTACTGCATATAAAATAAGACATGAAGGCAGAGGTAGATGTAGTAACATGTGACTACTACAAATGTTATGCATAATTCATGCCCACAGAACTTTCTTCACAAAATCTAAATACATTAAAGACATTACTGATGGAGCTCGTATAGAAAAGTAAAGGCAGTTGGAAAAGGAATACCAAGCTGCTCCAAACAAGATGCCCCCAGCCACCAATCATCCCACCTGCCCAAGACAGATTTCCTCCAAAACAAACTGTTAACAGGAAGTGGATGGAATCATGAGTTACAAGACTTGGGTTTGCATCCCAGCTCAGATAGTTTATAGCTGTGTTGGGGGTGGGGAGAGAAGAGAAGGTCCCATTAAAACACCTGTTTCCTTTTATGTAAAATGGCAATAACCACCTACTCTTCAAAAGGTTTAAGATGTCTCATACATCTTAAAATGCTACATAAATGTGAGATGTTATTTAAAAAAACTGGGTGATGCCTTTCCTTAAAGGTTTACAATTTTAAATATTTTTTTTTCTAACAGGCAAACACAGATAAGCAAAACCCAAACACAAGGACAGTATAAGTAAAACTAGTATCCTATCTATGTCTTTGTAGTGGAATTACTATTAGTCACAAAACTCAATTTCAGTTATTAGAAAAATCCAAGTAACTATAATAAGATATGTTTCTGTTAATACCATTGCTAAATGTGACTTCAAATTATACTATTTGTTTGCAGTAGCTGAAGAAGTCTTATCAGCAACACATGCTTGATTATTCAATTACCAGTCAGTTTACTTACCAGTTGGAATCCTATTACTGAGGTAAGTCTATATAAACTTTGTTACTAAACTCACTTACCATTTCTTAAAGCTGCTAACAAAGCAAATGTGCAGGCGTCCAAGATGTTCCCATCATAGTCAAGGCAGATAAGATCACAATATAGAACCCATGCAAGCTAAGAAAAATAATACATGGTAAAGTTAATTTGTCTTAGCAGGAATCTCAAATCCAGTCTAGAGGCTGCTTACGATCCAAGTCATAAATTACACAGCCTTTTGTCCCTCTGTTCAGAGGAATACCCAATCAAGAGTGGTAGAGCAAGTTTTGTAAGTTTAAGACCAAAGTACAATTTGAATTTGAGATGAAAGTTACATGAATTTTTCCTTAATGAGTATCATTATCACCAATGCTTGACTTACCTTGAGAAATTCTCTCTTGCAGGGTATTTTTTATCTTAAATAAAATGAACCCAATTTTAGAATCTAAACATCTTCCCACAGAAAGCTTGTTTTAGGTAATAGTAGTTAGGCTTTTTTAGAGGAATACTACTTGTCTTCATCATTATGTTATAGGTTTTATAGGTTAAATAGATTTTTGAAGGCTAGCCTGGGAACTTAACTACCATTTGGTAGCACTGTTCCTATGAGAAAGTGCATAACAGTTCAGACAGCTTACTTGCAAACTGCTGAACATGTCAGAGACATCCTTTAGCTCTTGGCTATCCCTCAACCCCACCCCTGTCCTCAATCCAATCAGTTGCCAAGTCTATCTCTACAACATCTCTTGCTTCCCAACCCCTTTTCTCACTCCTGGCCAATACCTGGTTGAGGTCCTCATCACCTCTTATTCAGACTTGCACAATAAGATCTTAATTAAAATCTCCCTCCTTCCAGGCTCTCTATTCTTTAATCCACTCTCCACAGCATTTTGTGAATAAAGTTAAAAACACAAGTCTGACATATCACTTTCCCTAATTCAAGAAGCTTCTGTGGCTTCCTACAGTCTCTAGAATAAAGTAGAAACTCCTCAGCTTTTCATTTGAAGCCCTTCACAATCTGGCTTGTTTGACTGAATTTACAAAGGTAACCCCAAAATTCTGAACATGGAAGACCTGGTATATGCTGGTGCTGTTGACAGAAACAGGGAGGAACAAGTGGAATGGAGGAGAATGTGATTTATATTGAACATAGACATGTCTGACAGGTGCTGACAGGACATGTCAGGGGAGAGGTCTTCTGAAGAGCTGGAGATGGGCATACAGGAATGCAAATTTGAGAATCCTATAAACATAAGTGGTACAGAATCGAAATCTGAGGAATGAACTTGATTTCCAAAGGGGATTTTGAGTGTAAAGAGCCAGGGATAGAACACTCCAGTAGGCACACACTTTTTTAAGATGTCAGGAAAAGGACAGAGTTAATGAATGGAAAAAGGAGGAGCAGAAAGACAGAGATCCTGTCAAGTGTGCTGTCCCGGAAGACAAAGGAAAGAGAAAGCATCCAGTAGTAAATTGTTCGTCATCAATAATTACAAACATAAACAATTTTGAGGTTATGAATTTGAGATTGAAAAGGTTCTATTTTTTAATATAAAAGGAATCTGAAATTGCTTTACATAATGACTTTTAAAATGTTACAGAAATCATTATTCAGTACTTCATCACTCAATACAAAATCAATATTTTAGTACTTCAAGGATGCATAATTTCAGTGGTGTAGGTATGCCCTCCACCAATGCAAACCACAATCCCTCTATGCCTTCATAATATTACTTAATCCCTAACACATTACAATTTTCCCCACTGAGGTTTCAATATGTTGTGGGTTCAGCATAAGAAATTAAATGTGGGGGGACAGCTAGGTGGTGCAGTGGGTAGAGCACCGGCCCTGGATTCAGGAGGATCTGAGTTCAAAATCGGCATCAGACACATAACACTTACTAGCTATGTGGCCCTGGGCAAGTCACTGAACCCCACTGCCTAGCCAAACACACACACACACACACACACACACACACACACACACACACACACACGGAAATTAAATGGGAATTTTTTTTGGGGGGGGGAGGTTTGCAGGAGCCTCAAACAACACGCAAAGGCCAAGAGACAACACAGAGCCTATGACCAAATACTTAACCCAGATTTTACAATAAGCCAGTTAACACCCCATAAAAGAAAAAAAAATTCAGACTTCTGTGGTACAAAGGGAGGGCCAAAAAATTTTATGCAGATTTTCCAGATTGTGGGGGCGCCATGCTCCTAACCCCCTTAACATGGAAGGGATAATTGTATTATGTAGTGAATTTCTGTGACCAAAAAAAATGTTTATCACTGCCTGTTGGCCAATGTCTGCTTGTGAACATCTTCCAAAAAAAAGCTTATTAGCTGGTGAAGGACCTGATAGAGCACACATTCTCTGTTGGTGCAGCTTTCAAGAATTTAGGGTTCTCTCTCTGCCACAGAAAAGCAAATGAATAGGACTGTGGTAGGAGAGAGGAGTTATGATTCAAGTTTTAAAACAGTACCTATTGCAGTTTAAAAACAACAGATTAAACAAAGTAGTATATGCTTCTCAGGTTTTTCAATGGTGTTTATTTTCTAGGATTGATGTCTTTATTATATTCCACCCAAACCATAACACAGGTTGTGGCGGCTTTACATTTTACAGCCACTCCATCCCAAAATAAAAACAAAACTCTACAGTACTTTAAAAAAAATGAAATCACTCACTATGCCTCTTTACTCTTTTCTTACCTTTCCATGAGAAATGCACAAATCTTCCTTCTGTATTATCTGTGAACTTGATCAAAGAGAGAAGATAGAGTAAGTTACAAGTGAAAATTAACTTTCAAGTCACTGATACTCAAATTATTGGAATGTCTTACTTTTCAATCACATCAGCAATGAACTGACTAGCCACTTGGGCCTCTTCCCCAGGAGGTCCAGAACGAAATCTTGATGAGCACAGAGGTGGCAGATCCACATTTGGAACTGTTTAAAAAAAGTGGGAGCGGGAACCACTCTACAACTATGAACTCAAGAAAAATCACATGCCAAAACTTTTCTTATTAGATGCAGCTTTTGGTACATTTTCAAAATGGTATACTCTAATATTTTAAAAATAGAAAGTCATCAGTCATTTGTAAGCACAACAGTGAGTTAAAGGACCCTGTGGAACAGGATATTCCTGCTCAGATACGGGTTCAACATAACCTTTGAGATTGCTTCCAACTCTGAGAGTCTATAAAGAGTCTGTCTTTGATAGAATGGCTTGGGAATTAGCAATCAAACTGAAAAAGTGCAAGGAGCTGGGAGAATGAATAAATGCGTTCTCCTTGTCCTAAGCAACTTCATCCATGGACGTTTTAGTTTAAAGTTAAAAGCCACACTAAGGCAAGAGCAGAGGTCAGTTTTGTCACATCAGCTCCATAGTGACCATGGAAGACTGACCTAAATTTTAGGACTCTTTACAGGACAGTGGTTTAGTTAAGCAGTTCAAACTATATTCCCTATCATTCTACATAAAGGTGCTTTCTCTAACATTTAAAGTACTCTTCCACAATACTTTCACTCTATCTCAAGGGCACTAATTTTCCCAAAAGGGCCCCAACTTCTTTTAGCTTCTTCAAAGCCAGTGTCTCCAGCAGAAGGATTTCCTTTAACCTGAAAATTCACAACTTTTTTAACCTGTTTTGCATGTGTTGAAAAAAGCAGGTAAGTCAGAATTATAAGAAATGCCTATGAGCATAAAGATATATGTCTCTGGAAATAAAGAAAAACCGAATCTCAGTTTACACAACTACAAAAATACCCATCTACCAATTCCACTATGAACTCACTTCGTGGCCATGATACTCATTTAACCTTGCTGCCTCAATTCTGTTTATAATAAGGGTAACAAAAAGTCCTACCCATCTCACAGGGTTTTTAGGATATGAAGAAAAAAGATTTGCTAACACTTTGAAATAGGTGAACACTGTACAAATATCAAGAGTAGAAAGAGCACAGGAATCAGGAAACAACCAAGATAAACTCCCACCTCTAACACTGCTAGCTATGTGACTATGGGCATGTCACTAACCTTAGTTTCTTCATCTGTAAAATAGGTATAATAAAAGATGTACCTACCTTATAATATTGTTGTGAGGATCAAATGAAGTAATATGTAAAGTGCTTTGTGTAACAATATGGGGTTTTTAACAATCAGTTACTCATTAAATTCAAGGTACTATTATGTAATTATAACATAAAAATTTCATTGTTGAAAGGTACAGAAGATATATAAAGACTAGTTAAACAACTGAACATAGAGATAAACCACCTTAGCTCAGAATTGTACTAGGAGGCATTATATTGCCAAGACATTACATTTAAAATGCATCTTGACAAATTCGCAAACTATTTTAAGTTAGAACCTAAGAAAACTTCAGAAAGTGCTACAAAATTTGGACAAGATGATAGTACACTACATGTAATCAGAGCTGGATGAATGACTGAACTCAAAAGAGTAGAGAGTAATGGATCAATGCAATGTCAACCTCGAGAGGAATCTCTAACACAATGCCACAAAATTGTGTCCTTAGTCCTGTGCTAGTCAACATTTATACCTATGACTCAAAACAAAGGTATGGTTGATGTTTATCAAATTTTCAGATGACACAAAGGCTAGGATAGCAATGTATACAGAACAGGACAATATACAGAATCTGAAAAAAGACCTTAACAGGCCAAAATTATGACCTGGCTACATTTACTAAGATGAAATCTAACAGTAAGAAAATGTAGTCTTATATGAGTTTAAAAAATAAACTTCATAAGTATAATATGATAAAAGTGCTTTTAGACAGAAGTTTACATTAAATAGACCCCGGGGGTTTTAGTGGTCCACAAGCTCCATATAAATCACCAGTGAGATAGGGCATCCAATTCAATCTAATAAGCATAAGAAAGGCATAGTTAGATACTGGAGAGTAAAGACAAAATGACAAGACCAATCCCTACCCTTAAAGACCTTACCACTTGGTGGGGATGTTGTAGAAGGGATTCTTGGTCATAAAGGGCTCTACCACAAAGATGACCTTTGTGATCCTTTCAACTCAGTGATTCTGAACAGGGCTATAATAAATCAATAAGCCTCTGTTAAAGAGGCTACTTAGCAAATGTGCATGTTAGCTTCTGTATCATTTCTACTTTTTTCCATTCCACGGTCCTGCCTTATAACAACACGTTTGTGATCATTCAGGAAATAAAGGCTTTGGATGAGGCTCAAAACTGCCTCTATTACATATTAAATTCCATTCTACAGATAATACTCCAATTGTAAAATATTTGCTCTAGTGTATACCATATGTGTGTGTGTATGTATATATATACATACACAGACATACACATACAGTGTATACCATACCCAACTAGAACAAGACAGAAGAGAATGGATGTGAAAGCACTTGGTAAACAAATACAAGACATTATTATTATTGCTACCTGAGGAGCTAAAACAAGTGTGAAAAATAAAAAAATTACAAAGTAGTCATAATTGCTGAGACTTTCCAAACATCAAGGTGAAACTTATAAAAAAGTGGACATCTGCCACAGTTTAATAAAGATTTCTGGGCACCTGCCATAATAGAGCGGCTATGTGGTGCAGTGGATATATCAAGTGCTGGGCCTGAAGTCAGGAATACCAGAGTTGAAATTGGCTCCAGACAGGCACTAGCTGTGTATCCCTGGGCAAGTCACTTAACCCTGTCTGCCTCAGTTCCTCATCTGTAAAAAGAGCTGGAGAAATGAATGGCAAACCAATTCCAGTATCTTTGCGAAGAATATCCCAAATGGGCTCACAGAGTCAGACACAAATGGAAACAAATCAACAACAAAAAGGTATTTGCCATATCTCAGTAACTGTAACTTGTCCAGGTCTTGTTAGAAACATAGTCTTTATACAATCACGCAACTACAGATATACAACATTACACCTACCCTCTCCATATATAGACATGTAATATCAACAATAAACCTCAGAGGTTCAGTGATTAACCAAATGTCCATTACTGAACAAGCTCAAGCTTTTAAATGGAGAAGTCAACTTTTAAGACCTAAATCTGTTGACTGCTATGCTTGATCAGTAATTCTCAAAAGTATGTGGTCTAAGGAATCACTCCCTGCTTTCAGGAGGTCCTTAAGATCAAAACTATTTTCATAGTAATATATTTTCATTTCTAACTTAATAAATATCAATAGACATAACCCACATAAATAAAAGTTCTTGGGGGGAGGGAGGGTTATCCTGAATTTTTACAAATGTAAAGGGGTCCTGAGACCAAACAGTTTGAGAACTGCTATGCTAGGTGACTGCTTCAAAACATAAAAGCAAAGCAAACTCTTGATCTATAACTGAAACAGGAACTCTTCTACTCCATAAAAAGGTAATTTACAATACTATATAATGGGAATATTTAGTGTTCTTAAAACACAAGTATCCCTTGTTATCATCCATCTGCATTCTAAATGGAATTTAATTTTCATGTAATGTATTTGAATGGGCCTGGTATGGTTGGTTACCAATATAAATCAGAACCCTTCTAATTCTTACTAGATAGTCTTTATGAGTCATTGCCAAAAAAAAAACTATCATCTTATAGCCAACCTAATAATGAGACTCTCCAAACCTAGCCAGGCTAGTCCTTGGAAATTAAACATACAGTCTCTCTCTACATCTATACCGGGTGCCTTCATTAGCCTCACAGGACCTCCCCAGAGCTCGTACTCTGCCAGCACAGCTTCAAGAACCCAGAGTCTACCCCCTTGCTAAAATGATGCATCAGAGGACTTTAGGATGTAACAAAAGTTTTATATCTAATCTATTACGCTGTGTTAAATTTACTCCATTATTTTTATCTCATGCTTTTTCCACTAGATAACAACATTGTCCAGAACACTTTCAGGGAATAACCTTATTTGATATATGAAGGGATATGTGTATAGTTTTTAAATTTACAAAAACATGTTCTTTACTCCAATATGTATTTGACTTAGCCTACAAATACTCTGAAATAAAGTGATATACCTAATTAGTATTTTAAGAAACACATTTTAACTTACCAATATAACCTTTATTGAGTGAATCTACTGGGGGTGCTGCAAACTCCTATAAACAAAACAAAAAGGTTTCCCTTGCTTTACTAAAGGAAAATTATAAAAGAAAAATTTATATTGCAGTTGTATAAACACACTATCATGTAAACTATTTTCTTTTGAACAGCTTAGGTTTTCCATTATGTTCCATACAAAGTAAATGCCTGAAAATAAAATTTTACAATTTCATGTTACCAATAGGCTTACCCTTGGAATCTTAATTTCTCAAATAATTTTTAAAATCTGAAAAATTAAAAATCAATTCCAGTTTTGATGCATCCAAAGAATAGTCATAATTAGTGTGTCATTACTGAACTTTATTTCTCTGGTCTTTGTTACAATCAACTCTATTATTAATCCTTAAATTGCTCTTTGGAAATAAAAACAAGAACTTGATAAAAATGCTACTGGATTTTCCAGTCAACTGCAATGTTATAGACATTCATTACCATCTAATAGAAAAATGAGAAGCATCATGGCAAAAGGACAGTGAGCTTCCCTGGTAGTAAGGAAAACCTGGGTTTAAGTCCAGCATCTGACACATCCTGGCTATGTCATCCTGGCCATTACTTAACCTGTCAGTGTCCCAGGTAAGTCTCCAAGACTCCATCTGTACTAGTAGAGAGAATATCCTCATCAGGAGCTCCCTACACTGATGAAATCAAAGGTCTGGTAAAAAAAAAAATGACCAATGAAACTAATTTGGTAACTCTTTTAGATGATTAAATGAAAAAGAGACCTACCGCTTTAACTCCACAAATTACTGTTGTATTTCCCAACTTCACTAAAGCAGAACCATCTGCAGTAGTAATTGAACCTGATATTTAACAGATTAAAAAACTTATTAGAAAAAAATTTCAAAAGTCATCTTACCAGTAATTATTACCAGGTTTAACATTTTTTGTCCAGTTGGTTAAAAACCTATCATGGCTTTACATGTATTTGGAGGTTCTGGTTAAGTCAGTGAAATTTTGCTTCTAGTTTTGCCTCATTAGTCACTGGACAGAAAGTGGTCTAATTCTATCTAAAGTCAAGTCCAATTCAACAAACATTTATACTGTGCCAGGTGCTGGAATATAAAGACAAAACCCAAACAATTCCTGTTCTTGAGGAACCTATATTCTTTGATGAGATACAACTAGTATACTGATCAGTACAATATGAGGCAATTTGAGTAGAAGTGGGGTTATCAGAAAGGATGACATAGAAGGCAGCATCTGAGAAGAGCTAAGACAGGAGGGAATGCATTTCAGGCAGGAGAATCAACATATATAAAAAGCAGAGATGGAATGTAGAGATTGAAGAACAACTAGTAGGCCAGTTTGGCTGGAGTATGAAGTTATATGAAGGTAAATAATATGAAATACTACTGGAATGGTAAATAGGAGCCAGACTGTGAAGGGCTATAAATGCCAGGCTGAAGAATTTGCATTTATACCAGAGGCAACAGGGAGCCACCAAAGTTTTTGAACAGAGAAGTGCCAAGCTTATTACAGATAAATGACGTACTTACACAGGTTACTTTAACTCACAATCAAGTGATTATCCTAAAGTAAATTTCATTACAAAACATTTCAAATCCTTTGCTTTATTGGATTTGGTTGCTGAATATTGCTAGAAACAAACTGGGGCTTAGTAACATTCCACACAGAAATTTTTATTGTAACTACATTTGTTAAAATAAGAGTTGGTTTATTATTCATAAGAGAACCATGATTCCAATAGCACTTTTTACTCCATCTAGCCTTTCATAATAATTGACTCATATACTCAAGCCTGTGTAAACAATTTATGATGGGTAAATTGGAACAAATATGTTTGTTTAAAAAAAAAACGAATTTCCAAAAGAAACAAGAATTTATCACCACTGTCCAACAAGCACTACATATAAAGTTGGTTTTGTATTACAGCATTTACTTTCTTTCTTAGGACATAGGGTACTCTTACCTATGTTGACAGTAGTAGTCCTGAATTCCCCAAGCTCCCTTCCATCTGGACGGCAGTTCTCTTTCTAAATAAACAAACATGATTCACATATATTTACCTTAATAGTCCTACAGATATGCATTCATTCATATTTCTCTACATCATGCTGTGTGAACCCTACAGAGGCTTGGCTGAAATCTTATTTGAACTAAACAATAACATAAACACAAGGCATATAACAAGAGTCAGAGTATAATCCCTGGCTCTACCACTAACCCTGTATGACCTTGACAAGTCATTTAAACTAGGCCTCAGTTTCCTCATCTGAAAAAAAAGGGGACTAAACTATGTAACAATGAGGTCTCTTTCAATTCTAAATTTAAAGTTCTAAATGTACCCGGTTGTCTTTACTTACCAAAAATCTCCTATAATACTCCAAGGGTTCCACTGTTCTGAAATAAATGAGTAAAAATAAAATTTATTTTGAAAGATTCACAAGAATACTGTAGCAAACACTGTATTTCAAGTTATCTAGTCCAGCTCACTCTGACGTTATAACAAGAGTGCCTGTAAATCTGTAGATCGTTAAACAATAGATTTATCACACATCCTTCACCTCACAAAATACTCTGTTTTTAAAGGATCCCTGTGCAGTTTCAGCTCCAATGCACCTCTTCTCCCGGGCCCCAGCTTTGTTTCTTTAAACATTTACAGATTTGGCCAACAGCTTTATTTAGGGCTGGCTTTTTTCAGTGCAGTAAAAGAAGCAAATCCTGTCACATCTCTGTTTATACCACATGTCCAGCCCATCTTGGATCAGATGGAAGTTAGTTACTAGCAGCTGCAGCAACAAGTGCGGAGGCTCCCGGGAAAGAAGCGCAGTAAAGACCCGGGTGGGCCAGGAGCTCCCCTGCCCCCTGCGCCGACCGCCCAGGCCCACGGCACTGGGGAGTCTCGCTCGACTCTTCCCAGGCCAGAGGCGCGGAGGGCTAGGTTAACCCGCACAGCTGGCGGCCCTGAAGCCCGACCCCTCCCGAGACACCTCACTCCGGGAAAGGAAAGCGAGGCCCAAGGGGGCAGACACAGGGGGGGATCCCGGGGCACAGAAGGCCGAGGACGGCCCACTCGGGCAGGTCGCGGGGCTTGGCTCTCCCTCTGCCGCCGCCGCCGCCGCCGCCGCCCCAGGAGCCCCAGCCCCAGCCAGGCATCTTCCCGCGGTCCCCGCCGCCCCTCCAGGCGGAGTCCCCCGGGGAGACTCACTTGAATCCAGCCGCCATGTTAGACACGTCCCACGTGCTTCCCGGCGTCCGCCGGCCGCCCTCCACCTCCTCCTCCGGCGCCCGCTCCGCCTCCGCACTTTCGCCACGGAGTCCGGCCGCCCAACCTGCCCTGAGCTAGGGACTGCAGGGGAGGGCGACGGGGACCAGCTGCCGGCTTGGTGACCTAGCACTGAGAGAACCGATGGCATCTCTCTGGTTTTCTTTGGCTTGGAATTTTAGCGAATCTCCGTTTGGGGAAAAGAACACGGACTCGGGGAAAGCTGGCTACGAGGGAAGCTCCCCCCGCTGCCCCCTTCGGGGTTTGTGGGGAGCGCACCGGGGCGTGGTTTGTTTGCCCGGACGCCCGGCGCGGGAGCTGGAGGCAGCTTTTGAACATGTGGTCTACAGAAAGTTTGCAGACTAGAAGGGAGGAAGGCTGTGAGCACTTAGCTGGGCCCAGTGTAGTCGTTCCTTTGGCCACGTCACGGTGTGCGTCTGCCCTCCTGCTCTTCCCTTTCTTTCGAGAAGGTGGGAGGCTTTCTTCACCCAGGCGTGTGTGTGTCGCCCGCGGGAGAGGGTTGTTTGCAACCACCAAAGATGCGCCTTCCGCCGACTGGGCGACTGCAAACACTAGCACGTTTTTGGTTTGCTTGTTTTTACAGGTAATCCATTATACACCGTATAAAAGCACCACTCGATATATGCAACTCCTTTAGAGATAGACCAAAATATCCATCTTTCGGAGAGCTCGTTCCTGGGAGTGAGACGAGGTACGACCAGGGACCCGGTATTGGGCTCTTGGAGACAGGTCTGATAGAAATTGGGACGATTCCCTCTCCCCTAAGGAAGAAAGAAAGCCAACACATCAAAACTCAGGAGCAGCCCAGAGCGAAGATTACATAAGAACACTTCTAAAACAGGAAACTCTTGCGAGGGGCGGGGCAAGAGGTTCAGGCTGCACATGCGCAATGGGAGCCAGGCTGTCAAAGCGAGGCTCGCAGGGGCGTGTTACCGGCAGGCGGCGCTGTGAGAGCGGGCCGGGAACCGAGTCGGGAGACGCGCCCCTCGCGACGCGGGAGGCGGGGCGCGGCTTCGGCCATAGCGGCCGAGCGGTCGGCGCTTCCGCTTAGGTGTAGGTGCGGGATAGGGCCAGATCGAGGGAAGCTTTCGGCCCTGGGGATGGAGGATGGGGCCCTTCCTGGAGCAGCTGGCGGTGCTCGTCGTGGCGGCGGCGGCCGCGGCGCTGATCCTGGTGAGGAGAGGGAGGGATCCGGGATCCCGGCCCGGCGGGCCCGCCTTCCCCGAGGATCGTTCCCCTCCCGGGCTCCAGGCCCTGGCAGCCCTGCCTAGGGTCTCCGACCGAGGCCCCTGTCTCCAGCTCTCTCAGCCAGGCGAGCATCCCCGTCCTCTAGCCCTCACCCTAATCCGTAGACTTAGAACTGGAAGGGACCCTGGAGGTCATCGAGCCCAACCCCCTCATTTTACAGATGGGAACACTGAGGCTTGGCGAGGAAGTCACTTAAGACTCCGAGTCTCATTTCTTTTCAGACCCGGGATTTGAATCCAGCTTCTCTGCCTCCAAATCGGTGCTCTTTGCACCCCGCCTTACTGCCTCACTTCTCTCCAGTCTTCTCATCACAACCTCTATTCTGGATTCTGGGACCCTGAGATATTTCCTTTTCATTTCTTGGGCCGCGTGCCCCAGTCTTTTCTCCACATTGCCCAGAGGAAGTGGTGACAGGGCAGTGCCAGAAGTAACGTCATAGTAATAACTAAAGGACAGATGAATAAGTAAATGAATGAATGAGCATACCAAAAAGCCCTCATATGCTAGGTACTGTGCTGAGAGAGATGAATGAATGAATGAAGACAATCCCAGTTGGAAGCAAGAAGAGGTAGAGGTGCATTTAGATTATCCTGTGTTTGGAGTTATGATATCCCCTTACAGAGACCCCTGATCTCATTGTTACAAAGTGTTATAAGAAGTTTGATCTTGTACCCTCTACTCCGATAGAATAGATACTCCTAATAAATTACGAAGAATTTTAAAAGGAAATTTTAGCTAATGCCTGTGTAATAGATGGTACAGAACTGAATCTTCCTAGAGAATAATATTCTAGGCAGTGTATGTTTAGTAAATGCTGACAGTTTGGACTTCTCAGTACTCTACTTTCAGTGTAACAGGAAGATTTCTCACTAGATGAAGCAGTGCACATAATTATTGTCTTAATACTTTGGGACTTATATCTGGGTAAAAAATGAATTCTCTTTGTCAAATTGGGCAATATTAATTTTTTCAGATATATTTTGGAGGTAGGAAGAATCCAGCATTTTCCCCACTACTCAAATTGAAATTGTCAACAGTTAAATTCAACAAGCACTTACTAAGCTGTGTCCTAAGAAAACAGAGGGGGGGAAATCAGCTTTATTGTAGAGCTACAATAATAACTGGAGTAGAAAAGCCATATTATTGCCTTAGATACTGACATTGGGGGAGACACCACCCCTTCCTTCCCCAGAGTTCTCCCTAGGCCTGTGCCCCCTCAGGAAGGAGCCCAGGAAAACAATTGAAGGAGCAGAGATTGGTTGCAAAAGAGGAAGGATATGTCCTGCCAGTCTCCAGCTGTTAGGGAGGCTGTTGGTGGTTGAGAAAGGCAGGTGGGCCCAGAAGGCAAAGGAATAAGATTGCTAGTCTTGAGGGAGATGATGTGACACACACCTGTGGGCACATGCACACTACACTGGGCTAGACACAGACTAGATGCCCCAGAAATATGTTAAACTTGTCTTGTCTAAAACTGAACTCAATACCTTTCATCATAAACATTTCTCTATTCCGGTCTTCCTTATTTAGGTTAAAGGTACCATCCTTGTGGTTTCTCAGCTCCGTAAACTTGGCATCATCCTTTCCCCCTCACTTGCCTTAACCCTACATATCCAGTCTGTTGCCAAACTTGCCTTGTCTGCCATTACAACATATATCTGACTCCTTCGCTCACACTTTCATTTTTCCCCTAGATATCTTATATTGTTTCTATGTTGTGATACTCACTAAAACCTAGTTTTCTCTGGTAGATGCTACATTTTCTGACACTCTCCAAATCTGGCTGCAAGTTTTACATTACAACCCCAGACATATAAGGCCAGGAGGGAGAATTGGCATATTCCTTGCTCCCTAGTACTCTCTTTACCACTAACACTCAGCAGGCCGCTCTTTTTCCATTAAGGTTCATTCTGTCGTGTCTTATCCTCGTGGCTGACATCTCTGGAACTCCAAGACATTCTTCCTTCTCCCTAGTGAGTTCAGTGGTTGGCTCATAGATGTCTTCAGCCCAGCCCAGCCCCACATGACTTCCCAGTTCTTCTGCCTCAGCTCCATGATTTGTCTCTAGTTTACTTCAGCTACACACGGGAGTGTTCATATTTTAGCTGAATTTACTCCAGTTCAAGAATTTCTAATTATGGCTTTCCTCTCAAAGAGCTTATATCCAACCGGAACTTAACATTCAGTCCATATAATAAGTTGTATAGATTAAAGTGGATAACTTTCAAGCTGTACAAACAGTTTTTGATATATTTCTTGACAAAACATTATTTCTTGGACAAAACTAATTGGTTCAGCAAAGCAGCTGCTCTGTGTACATCATCATGGTAGGTGCTGGGGTTGTGGTCTAAAAGCTCAATCATGAGTCAGTGGTTACCATTGAGACAATTGAGGCAACAGCATATACAGTGGAAAGTTCATCTGGGCTCAGATTTCACTTTTGATACATGGCAAGTTACTTAGCATCCTTAGGTCTCAGGGACTTAGATAAATAGTCCAGGTCCCACTAAATGGAAGTAGAGGTGAGAATACATTCCTGAGTATGAAGAGATATTATGTGCAAAGGCATGGAGATGGGAGTTGGAATGTTATGTGAGGAGCTGCAGGTAGACCAGTTTTGCTATGTAGTAGAGTACATAAATAGAAACTATATGAGGAAATATAGTCTGAAGTCAAATGAATGGTATTGGATGCCAAGCTGAGGAGTTTACATTTTAACCTAAGGCAATAGGGAGCCACTGAAGAGTCTTGCGTAGGAGAGTGATATCGTCAGACCTGCTTTTTAGGAACATTATTTTGGAAATAAATGCGGAGGCTGAATTGAATAAGAGAAAGTCTGGAACCAGGAATTCCAGTTAAGAAGCTATTGCAAAAGTGCAGACAAGATAAGGGCACAAACTAGGGTGATAGATGGAAGTCGAAAGCATGGAACAGATGCCAGAGATGTTGCAGACATAGCAAAGACAAAATTTGAAACTAACTGAATATGAGTGGGAAGGCAGAGTGAGGAATCAAGGATGACCTTGTATTACAAGAAGGATGGTGGTGCTTTTGACAGAAATAGTAAAGTTCAAAAGAGAGGGGAGTTGGGATAGGAGGAATGGCAGGGAGGAAGGGAAAGAAAAATAATGAACTTTAATTTAGACATGCTGGGTTTGAGATGCCTATAGTCATCTAGTTCTAATTGTCTGGGAGGCTGTTGGTATTGTGGGACTGGAGCCCGGGAGAAAGACTGAGACCGAAAATATAGATCTGAAAGTCACCTGCACAGAATGGTAAACTGAAACCATGGAAGCTGATTAAATTGTTGAGAGAAGAGAAAAGGTCCTAGGACAGGGTCTTTGGGTGTTCCCAAGGGTGTAGAGAGGGACTTGGATGACAGTACAGCAAAGAAGACTGAGATAAAGTAGTCAGATGGGTAGCCGTAGAAACAGGAAAGAACATCACGGAAACCCAGACAGGAGGGTATTTCCAACTCTCCCAGAAGGGGTGGTGAGCAGTATGATATGTTCCAGAGAAGCCAAGAAGAATGAAGACTGAGAAAAGGCCACTGGATTTGAGAAATAAAGGAGAGGAACGAATAAAAAAAAATAGCTCAAGGTTTCAAGCCTAAGTGCTTGGAAAGTATGATAGTTCCAGTAGCAAAATGTGGAAACTTGAGTAAAGAGACAGTTATATGGGGGGATTCAATAAATCTATTGAGCAGCTACTATGTGCACTCTGCTGAACTCTGAGCATGCAAAAAGAAATGGGACCCAGACCTGCCTGCTTTCAGGAAGCCAAGAATCTGATGAGTGGGTGGAAGGATAAACAAATAAAAATCATGCAAGAGTTAAGTTAGAGTATATAAGTACAAAAAAGATGGCCAGGCAAAAGGCCATGAGAAATTTGAGGAGGGAGAGGGCACTTTCACCTGGACTCCAAGCAGGACAGGAATCAGAGAAGACTTCAGAGAGAAGATGACATCCGAAGAGTTAGATATTAAAGGAAGGAGAAATACTTCAACAGGTAGATATGGTCAGAGGAGGGGCAGGAAACGATTCCAGGTATGGGGGTGATATAATCGAGGACACAAAGTAGTTCCATTCATCTGCAGCATAGATTACATGAAGAGTGATGTGAGATGTGATTGGACAAGTGGGAGGCAGCCAGATTATGGACAAACTTGAATTCCAGAGTTAAAAGAGAGCCACTCAGGCTTTTTTTTTTAAATGTAGGAGTGTTATAGGGATCATAGCAAAGCATTGGATCACTTAGGCAGTGGTGTAGAGGATGGATTAGAAAAAGGTTTGACTGATGATGAGAAGACTAGTTAGGAAGCAATTCCAATAATTTAATCAAGGAGAGAGTACCTAAGTTAGTAGGGTTACAGTGGAGTAGAGGAAGGGCAAAATAGAAGAAATAATTTGGAAGTAGAAATGACAGGACTTGCCAACTAATTGCACAT